TGGGCGTCCTGCTCCGGTCCCCCGGTGGTGGTGGGGCTTGGCCCACCCAGTCCACAGCCGGCGTGTGGGGGCTTTCGGGGTCTGGCCTGCCTCCCCGTGGGGCCTCGGTCATGGCCTTCAGCCGGGGACGTGGCGTTGGTGTTTTCACAATGAGCTCTGTTGGGGGAAAACCCGGGAAACCATGAGTCTGTCACTCCGTGGACAACACTAAGAGACAACTATACCAAACCAGTGCTGATTTTTGACTTAACTCGTTTCTTGGAATTTGCTTACTTGATCCTGATAAGAAGCGACAACGCTCCCAGTGAGCCAGTATTTCCTCAGTGAAAAATGTCGGCTGCGTTTAGTTAGCAGAGAGGGCTGCAGGGCTTAATGCCAACTAAAAAGCCTCTCCCAAGAAGGAAACTCCAAGCAGTCTACTGGCAGAACCTCAGCCTGGCCATTAAAGGGTGGGCACTGGAGCTTCGTGGTCAGAAGAGGAGTTCCCCACCATACCTTTCTCCCCTGCTGAAAGCATTTTAAAGACAGGCACTATTTCTGCTCTTCACTTCATTACTAATGACTGGATCGTTACCAGACCGAGCACGCCGGCCTCCCCACTGGGCCAGCTGCTTTATTCAGAGGAGCTGAAATTGGGAACATTCAAAATCAATTCTCTCTGGCAACTGGAATGTGCAAAAGGAACGGAGTTGCCAGGACAACACGTAAAACAGGATTTGGGGTTGGGTTTTTCCCCTCCTTGTGGAAAAAAATAAAAGAGCCTTGAACTCTGAAGAGCTGAGAATTCTTTGCTGTCACAGTTTCCAGGCGTTACTGGACTTGCTTATTCACATCCATTCTATTTTTAGCTCTAAAACTAAGTTTTACTTGTCAGAAGGAAGCAATTCAGAATTACTCAGAATAACAATCTACTGAGCTGGGACAGTGTCACATACATTTGCAAAGACATCATGACTTTTTGAATTATAGCCTAGATTTATCCATTCTCATTCATTGTTTTCTTTGTAGTACAGAGACAAGGGAAAACATGACTGTCTTATGTGTGCTTCATATCTATTGTCCCCAAAAGATAAATCCTTGCAGCGGTCCAGTTCTTCCAAATACTGCTTTTTGGAGAGGAATTCTATACGTGGCATGAAAATACTTCCCTTCTTTGGAAGCTGAGGTTCTGAAGGCAAGAAACAAATGTGAAAGCCTTACCTGTGCACACTTCAGTTGCTGGAGCCTGATCTAGCAAAGTACTTCAAAATCCTGGAACTCATATAATGATATCTAGGACTGCGTGAAAGCTAATGGTCACCTGGGAGTGCTTTTCACCTCACTGAATCAAGTTGTTATTATGTATTACTCTTTGTCAAGCTATTTATTAAATACACTTCCAACAAATGCACTCGTCCAGCTAATGGATGCCGCATGCCTTGGCGATTCTGTTTCATTCACACTAAACACTTAACCAAAAGAGCAAAATATTTACAGCTACACATCCTGTTTGCATGCTTCTGAATCAAAATCTTCATGCTTGGTTTTCACCTACACATGAATTTAGTTCCTGCAACACTTGGCAGAATCTCTCCCACTGTTTCTAAGTTTCATTTTATGATGAAAACTGCCTTGTAAACAAAACCAAAAGATTTAGTTATATGTGTAGTTTAAGAATCTGGACTCTGGTCTTGCATAAAGAATAATGCATAAGCAGAAACAGAGGCAAAGCTGGTTGAACACGAACCAAGTTAATAATATTTGGAAACGGCGTGCACAGCTTGCAAAGGAGAATGTTTTTGAAGACGTGCTGAGTGCTCAGGCATGTCAACAGTTAATAATTAGCCTTCGGTCTTGTTCCTCCTTAAAGACTCAATCTTGCAAGGTGCTGAGTGCCCTCATTCCTCCCTGAAGTCAAAGCTGTAGGAACTGTCAATGACTCAAATGCAGTGTAACATGATTCATGTAATTAAAAATTAAATAAAAGTGTTCTGAGATCCTACAGTAATATGAACTGCATTACGAAGTTGTTAGAGTACTGCCTAGGTACTTACACGTGTAAACAAAATGCACAGGGGAAAAGAAAGGTAATGGTGCCTAACCTAATTTTGAGATTCTAATAGCGTGTTTAGGATTTTGCATTTAACATAAATAGTACTTGGCTGGCTGCAGATCCAGCTCCATTGCTGACTGCTCCAGTTTTAGCAGTACAATACGTCATTCAGTATGAAGCCCTGGAGGGTTTGGATAAGCCAAAAGTTCACCTGAATGGCTGATCACGCCAGTTCTTTTGGGAGCATTTCCTCATCCCACATTCTCTCACTTACAACTAACAATGACTCAGCCCTCATCTTGCTCAATGAGCTATTTCCCAACCCCTTAGCCATCATATCCTTCAGCTCTTGAAGTGCTCCTCACTACCTGAAGGCACTGCAAAAAATCACCTATCACTGAAAAGTACCATCAAGCACAGGATCTCAGTACAGAAACAGTTACGGGGAAACCAGGTTGGTGGTAATGAAACAGGTATGATGTAGTATGGAAAAGGGAAAATATACAGGGGCAGAAACTACAGAGAAGATTTCACATCGCCAGAGGAAGAGAAATACATTATGCCTCATCTGAACCAACTCTTCAGATCCAAAACAGCTGGTAAGAATTACTTTTGAGGATACTTTGAAGAGTGAAGTTCTGGGTGGTCTCCATGCATACAGAGATAGTGTGAGCCTGGAGTTTGTATTTACTGCTAGCTAACATGCACCGACAATAAACAACAACAGTGACACTTACTCTCCTTTGGCACAAACTGGATGAGACTGCTTTTTACTTTCACTGGCAACGGCTCAACTCGGCATTTTCCTGGTGGTGCTCTCCTGTGAAAAGAGAGACACATACGGCGCACAATTAATTCCTTCCGCCTGGCATCATGAGCCTTTGCTTCCCATTGTTTTTCAATGAATGTAATGCTCACTGAAAAAAAAAATGTCTGTTTAAATGATCCAAGTGATCTCCTACAGTAGAAAACATAATTAAATAATCACATATCTCTGTTGATCAAAGTCCAAATATTCACAAGGGAGTGGAGTCCTCTGGCTGTGTTTTCACTTGCTCTTGCTGAATCCATTAACGAAATAAAACATTGGCAGGTTCAAGCATTACAGAAAGAGATTAATCAAACTGAAACCAAAAATCACAAAACTAGACAGTGTATGTTGAACATCTGACATAAAGGTCATATGTATGCAAGTTTTCAGGCTGTCTTCAGAGAAGCAAAATAACACACTATTATTCATACATAAAGCCCAAACAAAAGACTAACTACTACAAAAGTAATACCAAAAATGCATTCGTTTCAAACAAGTTTCAAGCTTTACGTGTCTCCAACAGAGGCCTCCTCTTAGTATGATGCATTATTTTGGCACAAATTTGTTTGCCATGGAGGTATATCTCACTTCTGAGAAGTTACATCCAGTTCATCATCACTTTTTCCTATGCTGGCTGGCTCGTTAATCTGCAGCCTTCTTCAGAGGTTTTCAAACTGGTTCAAAAATGCATGCTGTTTGCATTTGGAGGGTGTAATTCCTTTGTAATTAGGATTGTTTGCATTTGCATTTCTGTGGAAGGCAAAGAGCTTCCCTTTCAACTACTGCCACAAGGACGTTCCCTACTTTTATGAATTTTCCTACGGATTTTTTTTTGTACTCCACACAATAAAGAAACTTCTTTTTAAACTTAAACTTCTGACTGTCTTTTGACTTCTGCTTGCTTTATTTTTGCAAAGGTTGCGTAATAGCAGCCTCTTAATACACAGTTTACAGGAACTCTTACACTGTGTTAGATAATGGAAAATGCTCCTGACAGAGGACAGCCAGAGGAAAACACACAGCAGCTCTTGGGGGCTGTTTAACTTTGGGGTCTGGTTCCAACATAAAACAGAAAAGTGGTTTGGTTCAAAATGCTCAGATAGCTAAAGCTGCAAATTTAATCCATTTAAAAAAATAAAAGCTACAAAAGTCTCACTCTACATGTCTGGCTGAAAGTATTTTGGTGTTTAGCCAATAACAGTAAATGCTTAGAAAACAGGAAGATGGAAAAAACAGCTATAAGTCTTCCCATAAAAGCTATTCCCCGCCTTGCTCGGTCTGAAGATACACACATGTATGATCCAGAAGGTGTAACAATGATTTTAGATCCTTTTTAGATCCTTTAGATCCATTTTCCTCTTTAAAACACAAAACAGCAATGTACTTCTTGACATTCATTTCTGCTTTGCCCAAGAAAGCACTGCAGGTCACACTGGGTCAGCTTCAGCTGTGGCTGCCGGCGCACAGCAGATGCAGCTGGCTACAAGGGATGGAGAGGAGCTACGAATAGACACCTTGAGAAAAACTGCCTCCTGGGCAGGAATGTAAAGAAACTTTGCCTGAGAAAGACAAGCCGCTCATAAAATATTCCTTTAGCTTTCAGGAACAAATCTTCCAAGTCACATAACACCAACAGGCACCATAACAAACAAGTTGGTGGTCACCAGGCAGCGTAGACTCTGATGACTGTGGGAGAAAAGCAAACCCACAACGGGTCACTCCAGCCGTTCCTTGATCAAGGGACATGGAAGGGCTCAGCATGGGAGAAGAGCTAATTAGTCAGTCAGCATCATTCATCACATCCACACCTGGACACGCTGCACCACGCTTAGGCTTTGCAACAAGAACGTCTCATACCTAGAGGTGTCCACCACTTTGTACACCACTCCACTGGGAGCCGTGGCACTTGGTATGCCAGTAGACATGAAGTAAAGCTCCCCTGGGGAAAAAAACAAACACAGCCATGAAAACTCTCCACGGAGCTTCTGTTCTGTACAGCACAAGGGCATTAACTCTGCATCACAGGTCAGAGAGCATCAGGAAACCTGGGACTGACACGGAGATCTGGCTGCTGGAGGAAACGAGGCAGGTTTGTATTTGGGTTTGTAGTGAGAGATCCTCTGCATTCCAGTGGCATAAAATACTCTTAGTGAGTGGGAGCTTTTACATATTGTCATAAAATACTATTTTGACAGATTTCCACTGCATGTTCAGTTGCTCAGGCTTCAGCTGTCACCTCAGTCTGATCTGTGTCCTTTAACTTTGCTAATGCAAAACAGTCAACCTCTGAATTCACTTTGTCAAAAAGAAATGAAAAGAAATGTTCTGTTCACAGAACATGAAAGACTGTTCACACTCTCTTCTGCTCTTTTGGGGTGAATTGCAGAACAAGATTTTGCTTTTGCTTTCTCTGGCACACTCACAAAGTGAGATGTATCTCATGAGAAAGGCATTTGGGTTCGTCACAGCTCTGTCAGGTCATGTGGGCAGGGCTCGACCTTCAGCCAAACAATGTCCATCATCATTTGGCGTTTTTTCTCTTAACTGCATTTCCATGCCTCTCTTGCTGTTGTGCAGGGGAGGCTGGGATAAGCAGTCCCTCCAGCACTCTCCTTTCTCTATTGCCAGCTCAAGTGCTTGAGCAGTGCAATGAAAAGGGTCAGAGAGCTGATCTGGGGATGAGAAAATAAATTTGCAATATTTAAAAAATAAAAAAGGAGAGAAAAAGAGGCAACAGAGACCTTTTTAGTAAGTAAGGGAGATTTCTTTGGGCATCCTATGGGTCCACCAAAGGGAAGAGGGGAAGGAGTGGAGGGGTCAGAGTGGGCAAAGGAAGGTGCGGGCAGTCGGTGGCAGCTCCTGCTGGCTGCTGAGCCTCCCTCCTCCTCCCTGCTCCCCTGTGCTGCCGCAGCCGAGCTCCTCCAGATGCTCCCGGGGCAGAAACCAGCCACCCTGGCTGGTTTCTTCCTTTTTCTGGTGGGCTGCATTAACCACAGGCCAGAGGCAGCCTTCATCCAAACAGGGATGGGAAACACCTGGCACTGCATCTTGCGGTGCAGTGATGTGCGCTTCATATCCCTCCCCTTTTTCCCAGAAACTATCAGGCAGAAATACAGATGCAGGGGCCATGAAGCATGCAGGCTACATCACACGTGGGCCCCACAGACACAGCACAGTGCCTGGGGTGTCCCCGATATGTCCAGCTGCCAGGGGACAGGGCAGCTGGCTTTATGACAGCTGTGCAATGAGCCAAAAACATAGATATCCCCACCACATAATCACATCCACTGCGCCAGCCAGATTAACATTCATCAGAGCAACAACCCCAAAAAACAAACGCTTCCATGAAGAAAAGCTTGTTAAAATAACCCATGTGATAAACTTTTAAAATAGCAGACTCCCAGCACACCAAAAAGGTGCAAGAGAAGACTGTTCACTGCAGATTAAGAAAACTCACTAAACTGTTATCAACAGATTTCTTTCCATTATAGTAAAGCAAACACAAGGCAAATAATAGCTCTGAGAACAGACTCCAGCCCAAACTTCCAGCCAGCTCTATCATCCTCGTGCCAAGTACGCGTGAAAAGCACAGGGAGAAGAAGAGCGGCAGCGTCTCACCCCACCTTTGCACAGCCTCTGCCCACAAAGGCAGGACGGGGGACACGGCTCCCCAGGTGCAGGCAAGGGCTGCAGTTAGCAGCTTGATACTGCACTGGGCAGCCCTCTGCCTCAGCCTAAACCTGATTTAAACTAAGTTATTCTGATTTTAGGGTAAGATATCCTTCTTGCCACAGCACTGTGAAACAGCTCCACCTTCCATGAACATTAACAATTAAAGAAAATGGATTTTAAGTCCGAAAAAGATAAAATTCCCAAGTCCAACCTTTGAGCTAATACTTAATTTGGACTATTTGCATTTATGTGATAAAATTTGCATTTACATGATATGCAGTGGCTGTTGCATATATGCATACACCTGACATAATCTGCAGGAAAAACAGACGTTTAAAAACTGTGGCATTCTGGCAGCAGGTGATTGTGACCATGAGCTGGGACCTCTCTGCAATGGGGCAGAACACAAACTCCTGCATTGCGAGTGGCACACGAGGCTGCTTATCTACGGGGCTAAACATCACGGGGCTCATCCTCTCCCCGTCCCCAGCCAGGGGCTGCACGCTCTGCCCGCCCTGCCACAGGGCTGGGCAATTAACCATACCCTCAGATGAACAAAGGGAGCGATCACCAGCTTTTGCACCAGGACTCTTTATTTCCTCCTTTTCAAATCCCAGCGGCTCCCTCCTAGAAAGCAAATTGTCTCCAGACTTAAAAACACAGCTATGCAAAGCTCCACCGAGACTACATCCTTACGTCCCATGCAAGGCAAAATCCCAGCTGGCACTAATAAAATACGGACTTAAGCAGCCTTTTGCCGATGCCTCACTCGAGACATAACGGAAGGCTTTCATTCTGCTTTACCTTCAGAGGTACAAATATTCCAGGCCAGGGTGAGCAGGTTCATAATTACTGTTCATTACATCTGCTTCCTGTATCCATTAATAATGTCAACCAGCTTTGACTAGCCAGGAGCATAGACTTGCTCTCACTTGGGTATCGGCTTCTCAGCCTCCCAGGGCCTGCATTTCCCACGGCCTGGCACCGTGAAGAATGAGGTTTCTTTTCCAAGCTGTGCTTGGCTGTATCTGCCCCCCGCCGTCACCCATCCCTCCAGAGGGTCGGTGTGTGGGCAGCAGCACACCCAGCCTCGGTCCCGCGGGGAACTGCCTACCCAATTCCCTCTGCAGTCACTGTGTGGCATGCTGGCCTCAAAAGTAGGATTGTAACTTTGGTCTGGTATTTGGGAGACGCTGGGAATCTTACCCACTGGCATTTTCAAGACTGAGAGACTCATGCTCTGCCACCACCCACTGCCTCCCAGGAGCCCCCTCTGACCCCTTCTCTGGTGTGTTCATCCAAAGAGAAACCACAAGCATGCCATTCAGTGTGATATAAACTTAAAGGATTACCTGCTTCATCTTCAGCAAAGGAGATGATGTATTGGTAATAGTTATTGATAAGGCCAGGGAACATGCACGTTTGTCCCGTCCCCATGCAGATTTCACTGTACTGCCATTCTCCAGTAGCACGATTCTCCTTCAAAGACATCAGGCGTCTGCAAGGCAAAAAAGCACTTGCACCAAGCAACTAGGGAGACGATTTATGAACATTAAACAGGACACCTGAAATCATGTTTAACGCTTCCTACCTGCATTAGCTACTATAGGAACTGCAGCTCCCCCAAGAAATGAGAGATTGTGACTACCAAAACACATATGTTATACACCCCTGCAACACCTTGTCTTTCAGGGGCAACACAAGTACAAGAAAAAATTATATGGGAGGGGGGATGTCAGCCTGGGGGGACCTTGCCAGAGGTGCAGAGCACTTGGCTTCACGGCAGCTCTGCGGCCCCTCTCCCGCGCCCGGTGCATCAGCCGGGGCAGGCGGTGCGGGGCTGCGCGCGAGAGGCCTGGGAGATGCAGGTAGAGCAAAGGCAGAGGAGGTGGGGGGAACAGAAGGCAGTCTCATGCCTGCTTCATCACAGGTTCGCAGCAGACTCGCTGCCGGACAATGTTGTTTCTTTTCTTCCAATATCTTCAGTGGCTGGAAACTGCATCAGAGTGGCTTCAGTTTTTTTTCGGATGCATTCAAATGCTTTTTAACACCACTTCCAGGACTTTAAATGTACATCATACCATTGCCCCTTTATTTGTATTGGCACCACGTGAATCAGTGACATCAAGGGCTGCTGGAATGCAAAGATTGCATTGCTGCACAGCACCATGGAATAAAGGTTATATAAAACACGCCACGTGAGCCCTCTGTACGAGCAGTCCGGCTTTGCGCAGTGCTTGCAACCACCAAGTAGCAGCATGTCCTCAGTTGTTAGACTGCATGAGCACTCGCAGGCAGGTGTAGTATCGTTGGAGGACTTCAGCTGGGGGTACAGCTTAGTGAGTATCTGAAGTATTTACTTACCCGCTCATAAAATCACCAAATATGTATAGGCCATTCAAGTTTGGAGACTCACAACCCCGATAGACATAGCCTCCCGTAACAGATTTCCCCATTTTGTGTGGATACGCATAAATTGGAAGCACATCATCTGTAAGGGAGAAAAGATCTGTGACTTGCCTTGTTCTACACATGATGCAGAAGAGCTGTTTATCTAGATAGTTCTGAGACTAGCATGATACAGTCAGGTTCATCTGAGCATCTTAATTAAATGAACTGCTAATGGAGTCATATTTAGTTTGATTTTCACATTTTGAGAGCCACGTTCGATAGCCCTGTCTAGCTGGCTGTGCTAACCGAGGACAAGCTGGCTCAGAGAAATTGGTCGCTGTTTCACCTGCAGCGTAAGCTGAACCCCTGATAAGCCTGAGTGCTCTCTATCACCCAGACCCCCCACCGTTCTCCCGAGCCCTTCTCCTCCCGCTGCAACCCAGCTCTGTTAGTGCTGCTCCTGGCCCATTTCTGCACAGCCTGGCTGGTTCTGCTATGAATTTGCAGGTTACTCTTAGAGTCACTGCACCCATGCAGGAGATGTTTGCCCAAGGCAGCTTTGTTCCCGTGGTGAAAGGGAAAACAGAGACAGGTAACTCCAGACTGCAGGCACTGATGAAAAGCTCTTAGATGTCAGCATGAACAGCTTCTGTTTCTCTGAGACAGGGGAGCTTAACCCAAAAGGGCCATCAAATATTTATGGTGTGGCACAGGCAAGATGTAGTACTGGCATATTCATTGTAAAATACAAGTTAAAACACAAGACAGAGGCAAAACAGAGGGAGGTAGATAACCTGACTTTGAGGGTCTCCATTAGATGCTTCCTCTCTTCTCTTTTGAAACTCCTGGGTCACAGGTATCTCCTCATGGTATCCACCCCTCTTTGTCCTCACAGCCTTTCTCCCTGCCCATGTAGCAGATGCCTCAAGTAGCAAACCTGGCAGCTCTACCAGCGAGGAACTTGCACCAGGGGCATTTCATCTGAAGCAGGCGTTTTCTATGCTTTCACTTACCATTTTAAAGGGGCTGTGACATTTCACTGTTCTAACAAAAGGGTCTCTAAAGGCAGCAGAAATTGCTCCCAATCCCTGGAGTCCTCAGTAAAGTGCCTGCCATGAATGCTCACGCAGGCGCTGTCACACAGGAGAGCACTAAACAGGCTCTCTGACAACTGCTTCAGCAACGGGAGTGCAAAAAGTCTGCTCCATGCTCTCAAAATTTTTATAAAAACCACTTAATTACTACCACTGTACTTGTAGCTGAGTTAATAAAAGGAAGTTAGACTAAGTTAATAACAGGAAGTTAAACTAAGTTAATAAAAGGAAGTTAAACAACACCACACAGCACACAGATAAGAAAAAAATCAGAATCTCAGCTAGTGCAAATCAGTGCCAGCCCACTGCCCCCCCGGATCTCTGGGGAGATGCTCCAGCACAAGATGTGGTCTGCATCAGACCTTGCAGCACAATACACTCTGACTTCACGCATGCTCTAGAATTTATCCAGCCAGCAAATACCCTGAATCCAGGTTTGAAAAGTTAAAAAAAAAACTAAAACAGTTTTCCTTTTTGGCACAGCTAAAAGAAACAAAAATATGCTGTACATTCAGTTACCTGCAAAGCAGGCAGTCTGCATACTGCTTGACCAGCTTGCACAGTATGTTTCTTTCTTTTTTTTTAAATAAGGACACTATTTGTAAGTTATGGAGAAAAATACAATTTCTCCAAATTTTTCTCGCTTCTGCAGGGAAGGTTATTTTACACAGAAAAAATGAAACTGTCCCCCTAAATAACAGAATCACCAAGCAATTTGACTAACACAGATAGCCTGGAAAAACAACAGCTAGAATGTTTCCTTTTCCTCCTAATACAAAAATGGTAACATTTGGACTTTCAGTATTTATCCTCAAGTCAGTTCCCTTCTAGACTGAGACAGCATAGATTTACATCTCAAAAATGTATGTTTTCCACCAGGCAGCCCGGTGAATTAAAAATGACGGTGCAGAAAACTGCACGGTGGGAGACGCAGGTAATTTAGAGAGCACATCTATTTACCCATTGAGGAATTGGCGCAAAGTTTTTTATCGTAACAGCTGAACCCTTCCCTTGCCCTCCAGCCGTAATTTTTCCCTTTCTCGACGATGTCGATTTCTTCGTATTTATTCTGCCCCACGTCTCCGCAAAAGAGCCGCCCTTTCCCTTCCTTGGTCTGCGGTTCGCCCCTGTCAAAAGAGCAGCGCCACATATTTCTCACTCCATACGCATAGATTTCGGGGCGAGCCTTAGGGTCGTTGAGAAAAGGGTTGTCGGGCGGGATTCGGTACAGAGGCCCGCGGTCGTTGTTGTTCACATCAATCCGCAGCACTTTGCCCAGCAGAGTTGATCTGTATTGGGAGATGAAAGGAAAGGAAAAAAAAAAAAAAGTAAAACTAGACCTCAGTTAAACCTGAGAGATGGGTTTTTTTGGAAGTCTAGGTTTTCATTCTTTCTGGTTTACAAAGGACGAGTCTTTCAGTATCTCTGACAAAACCCAACCATTTCAAGACCATTTCATTTGTCCCAGGCCACCGAGCAGCCTTCAGGTAGCACTGATTTCCCACAGCCCGCTGCCCACAAGCTCCCAGTGGCTTGGAGCTGCCATAGGGATGGGTCCACTCTTCCCACGTCGTGGACACCCCCTCCACTTTTAGAAAACTGGTCTCCGAGCAGACAACTGGAAGGCTCAGCAAGCTATCGCTCCTCGCAGGGAAAAAAGACACATCTCAATAACCGCCCCTAAGGAAACTGGAGTTACATGGGAGGCCCATATGCCCATGTGTGTGCACAAGCATCAGTGTGGGTGTCAGGGAAAAGGCAAACCCAAGACAGAAAATTGCCCCCGATTTACCTCCCCCAGTTTCTCATCTCAACCCAAGGGAGACAGGAGGGGGACACGATGCACACAACGTTTTAGGGGCTCTTACTTGTTCTGGGCGTTCCCAAAGGTCCCAAAAGGATCCCCAGCCATGCCTCCATCTCCAGTAAATATATAGAGATAGCCATCATCTCCAAAGAGCAGCTCTCCTCCATTATGGTTGGAAGCGGGTTCTTCTATTTCCAGGATTATCCTAAGTGAAACAGGGAGGAAGCATTACCTACCGCACAAGCCCTAAGCAATGGGCAGAGCAACATCACTCCAACGTTGCCCCTGACACATGGAAATGGCCACAGATCCGTTTTGATGCAAATTCCTCCACATCCACGTTACTGAATTTTGCTTGGGCACAGTTGATTTTCTAACCTTAAATAATTCCAACATATTTTCCAGGTTACAGAAACACCAAATTGTGTAATAAGGAAAATCTAGGAAATCACATGACAGAATATACTTTTATTTAATTATACTTTTCCTTTGATTCTTCCTTCCTCCTTGTTAGACCTCTTTTTTCTCTTTTTTTTTTTTTTTTTAAAAAAGGCATCTCAGCTTAAATCCGATTGTGAACTACAAGAGAAAGGACTCCAGTCCGTGTGTGCGTCTGTACAGCATTTGGCACAATCCTGACAGGCGCTTTCAAGGTGAACCTAAAACTTTTCAAACATTAAGGATCAGTTAAATTCTTAAAGAGAGAAGAATCCTTAAATGATAATTACATACACAGGACTTAATGAGTTTAAAGAGTGATTAAAAGCAGCCCACCAACAAATTAACGTCTTAACAAAGGTTATTCAAAGCAGTACTACCACCCTTTACCTTAATTTTAAAACCAAATTCCCTCTTAGTTTTATCTATTTATTTTATGCACCTGGCATCCCTTTCATAGTAAGAAAAGGGTGAAATATATAAAGTATAACTTTATAGAAAGGTAAAGCCACAAATACGTGCAGTGGAGGTTCCCAGCTATAATAATCCAAGTTTATTTTACTCCAGCTTCTAAAGAAGTCCAGATTTCATGCTGACAGTGCCTCTTAATAGCTGCAAAACCAAGTTATAATAACCACTTATACCACCTTATTTTTAGCCAGTTTTTTTCCCTTATGAAAGTACTGATAGCTTGTGATCAGATTGTAAATTGTGGGAAGGAACCCAACTATGTAATTATTCTGTCACCTGCTGCTAAATGTCACCACCTCTGAGGTAAGGTAACTGCGCACGAGCCCACGGACTCCGGCCGGCAGAAGGAGTGAGAGGGGATCCTGTACAGACACAAAGGTGAATCCTCCTCAGCCTCCCAAAGACGATGGAAAAAAACCAAAACACACTGAGCCAAAATCCGCGGACAAGCAGACATATGCCCTCCTGCCAAGGCAACGCACACCGCGCGTCGGCCCGAGCTCCCTCTTGGGCAGCGCCGCGGGATGAAGTCAGTGGGACTCGCGCCTACACAAGCACAACAGGACCACAATTTTGTTTTCTTAAGCTTTCGCCGTACTAACCATCAGCTAAATAAGCACAGGAAGCGTTACAAATGTAGAGCCCGAGGATTTTTAAACAAGAGAGCTCATGGGCCCTGACATGTGCAGGTTTAAGCTCCTGACTCGCTTTCCTGAGGACCACGTCTCCATTCCCCTTACCCGTCATCTGCAGCGCTGCCGACACTGAATTGCTGTAATTGCTTATCCCCTTTCTGTCGTTAGGTTACGTGCATTTTCGAGCTAGAATCATCTACTGCTGCGTATCTGGAAAGCCCCTAATATAACCCACGTAACGATGCAAAAATCTTAACATTAATAATATTCAAGGGTCTCTTAAAACAGTGGTTCTATTACGTGGTTCTGCAACAGATTATAAATCTATAGACTGACTCCACAAGCAAACCTCTCGTTATCTGTGCATATTAATGTGGATCAACTGCAGGATCAGTCTCAAATGAATGAAATTTCCAATCAAAATGCACTCAGTAATAGCACAGTGGTTTGCATTTTGTTTAATTTGATATTAAATTTATAATATCACAGGATAAAGAAATGTGGGGCCAAATCCATCTTTGGTCCTGTATCACTGAGTTTGTTTATGCTTATTTTGCAAACCTTTGGCGTAGGAATGAATTCCACTCATGCTTTGCAGAAGCCTGTTTTAAAGGGTAATAATTACAATACGAAAAAAATCCCAACCAAAAACCAAACCCCAAAACACTGTAAATAATGTTTAATCAATGTTCAGTTAAATCTTCTGATATACCAGAACAGAGAAAGGTAAATGTTTTCTCTCTGAGCACTTGCAGTTCGTCCATGGACGACAGGCATATTCTCAGTTTTAGTATGCTAGACGTGGACTTGGACTAATTTGTTACCACACTGGAATGCAAGAACAATATTAAGCTAAGTAAGTCTCATTCATTAATAGCCTTTAAAAATGCACAAGTGGCCCTCTGAGATCTTAAATACATTTGCCAGAGAAACGTGTGTACAATACCTTTCGGAACCATGGTCCAAAGCATTCATGTCAGCAGGAGAAATTCTGAACTCACTGATTCGGATTCTCTCTTCATAACGAACTTCAACTGAATAGTAGACATACACTTTACCATTAAATTTGAATTTAGGATGGAAGACAATACCTAGAAAACCTCTCTCGTCTCCTTCCCAAGGTGAGGTAAGTACGGCTTCACTGATGTTCAGAAATGGCTTTTCGAGCCTGGATCGATCAGGGAGGTAGGTCCACACCAGGCCAACCTGCTCCGCAATGAAGAACCTGTGGGTGCCATCATTGGCGTGCACCATTGCAACAGGATTGCGCAGCCCATTGGCGACCTCCACCAGGCAGAGCTGGAGACAGCCCTCTGCGTCGGCGGTCACCAACCCCAGGTTTTGGTTAAGGTTCTGGTTAGCCAGCAGGTGTGGAAAGCAGTAGTCTGTGTCCTCCAAGGACAGGTAGCGGCAGAATTTTGCCATGTTGTTCTCCAGTGCAATTAACTCTTGGTCTGCAGAGAGATAGCGAAAAATGGAGCGGCATTTTTGCCACACTTGCAGGCAATAGTCTTGGCAAAGTCCTGGTATCGTCCGTACGGGGGTGGAGGGATCCTCGGCATCGTACAAGTGAGCTGCATATGGAGAGCATTCCTAGAGGGAGAGAGAAAAAGCCTCAAACCGTTTCTTGGACCAGATTTGAAACAGCCGAGCAGCAATACAAATTGGAGAAATTTCACCTTAATTACAACATATGCTGTGGTTTATTCTGAAGACATATTAACAGAGGAAAAGATCTTAGAAAGGGGGGTCATCTCAGCATTCACAGAACTCATCTTCAACATTCCTGGTGAAAGCTGGATTCCTCATGCTGTTATTCCTTTATTCCAACCATAGCACTAACTCAGAAACATCTTACTACATCCCCCTAGTAGACTATGCTGGGGAAAAAGAGACTTTTCCTATCTTGGATGCTCTGACTTTATCTATGAAATAACGAGAAGATTCATCACAGCACAGAAGCAAAACCAAAGAGTTAGCTGAGAAGATTCAGGTCCTGCATCTCCAGGCTGAGGAGGGAATGGGAAAGGTCAGCAGGGCCAATACCTGCAACTTTCATACCTCATCATCCGATAATCCAGACACGCACCTCAAACACAGATGTGATTTACAGGTTAGAAGGAGCGGGATGAGAAAGTGTGGGAGGAGAGGAGAAGGACACCCACCCTTTGTACCGCGCAGTGCACCCAGCTCCGGGATGCTGTCACTGCATATACCAGTCTTGCTCAGGTCCAGCTGCCTTTGCTGGTGGATCTTTGCCTACAGACGGTTTATATACCTGATTAGATGTGGTGAAACGTATCTCATGACCATGACACTGGTCACCAAGTTCTGCGGGGGATGCTCAGGCTACAGGATTTCAGACAGTGAGCACCAAATGGCCATAATCCAGGTACGGTCCCTGGGAGTGGCTGCAGCACAGCCCTCGTTTATGGAAGGTGCAGCCTCGGAAATCTGCCTAAGGACTGAATCAAGTTGACATAGTTTATTGTATTCTCCACTACAAGAACCCTGACAGGCACATTTTCCTTATGGAAAAAGCCACTGCAGTCCAGTAAAACCATCTGCAAATTACAAACGGGCAAAAGTGATTCTGTTCCGCTTTGCAAGGGCTTTTCCTTGTAATAAACACATGCTATTTTCCAGTTGTAATGCATCTTCCCGACAAGCATCTCAAAAGTGCTCTCCAAATAACGTAACGTGAGTCAGTGCAAGCTCAGTTATTTTCACAGGGCAGATACCTAACTGAGGCAAGAAAGGTAGGAAAAGAAACTATCTTTCTTGAATAAATTCTGCTTTTTTTTTTTATTCCTAGATGGCATTTCTTCCAAGCAAAACTAGCTTAGTTTAAAAAAAAAAAAATAAGGACCTGTTTCTAAATCTATAGGGAGCTATTTCTTAATGCAGATTACAGCACTATTCAATAGCTGAAAAGATATAACATTTGAGATACTGAAGTATTTAAATTAGCTGATAAGTACACACAATATTTAATTTTTATTTTCTTTTCCATTACATACCATAATAAACTGAGAGGCCATATAACAGATCATTAGTGTACAATAAGCTTTCCTCCTGGAATGTCAAGCTATTCATTGCAAAATGAAGGTTATTATGCCTTCAAATGAGCAGCAATTAATGTGGTAAAAAGGAGATTGCGCGTGACACAAAACACTGAAATTACGCAGGCAGATTGGGTAACAGCACTCGGCTCGGTTACACGAGCATTTGCCCATGCAGTTGTTAAAACTGAAAATTTGGCCTTAGAAAACAAATGGAAACGAGACAGAAAGGGAACGTGAAGGCAGGGCAGGGCGGGCGCTCAGTCTGTTGCTGCCTGCGGAGGTTTCCCACTCAGAGAGAAGACCGCCGCTTGAGTACCGGGGTGTACCTGTTCTCTGAAAGCCTCTTTCAAAGCAAGCAGTGATCTCATGCATTATAAAGCAATGTCCTGGCTTCAGTATTGGAATTAAAAATAGCACAGAGGTATTCCTTCCCTGTCCCTTTGCCGCTGTGGGCTGTCCACCCCAGCCTCAGGTGCGTTTGAATAGCAGTTGTGGATGACTTCACTCCTTACCACGTTCCTGGTGCCGTACAGCTACTCACCGTGGCATTGCACCGGCGGTGAGGTACAGAGATCGGTCACAAGCCAGACTGTACCCAAGCATGTGTCTAGGGTATTTTCCAGACACGTGTGGAATATTTTCCAACTTCTATTCCACAAGAGATGGAACCTGACACCTGATCTTGAATTTCCCCGTTTCTGAATCAAATGTTGTGGTCCTTCACCCTTCACATCTTCTTGTCATATTCACTAACAGAAAACACCAAGAAGCTCTACACTTGGTTATAGCCCAGTATCACTAGTAGATTTAAATTTTCATTTCCAAATGACATGGTCTGTTCATTCATTTTACACTATAATGTGGTCCAAAGAGCAAGGAAACTAATGGGCTGATGATCAGTAACTTCAGTAGGGCTGGAACAAGCTCGCACCATGAAAATAACTCATCAGAAAATAAAACAAGTAACATTACGACAAGTTAGCCAAATCCATTCTATCTGTTCCAGGAATTCAGGGGCAGCTATTTATTTGAGGGATTGCAACAGTCTGAATCTGGACAAACACCCACATCAAACAATGGCTTATTTACAGCTGCTATCAGCCCAGAGGAAGCAACGGGACTCCTCAGGAAAGCATCTAACTTTCATGTAATCCCTGACATTCTGTATCCACCTCCATCAGGAATCTGAAGCCTTTAAGCAAGCTATTCACCGAGAAGCAGAACGATGCATCTGCTCTCCCACAGTTCAGAGTCCTGTATCCCACTGCACAATAATCCACATCCACACATGTTCCCCTGAGACCTGCTGCCCCCATCAAATTACCCCGGGGGGCTGAGGCTGTGGGGCAGGCAGGGGCGATGTCCCACCGCAGCCCTCTTCTCCCCCATAGCCAAAGGCTTCCTCTCAGCCTGTTTCTGGGTGGCGGGAAACCCTGTTTTGGGGTTCAGGGGTCATGGGCAGCACTGAGGGAAGGATGTTTCTGCTCTTCCACTTGCCCTTCCACAAGGAAAAGACACGGCACTGCGTAGCAAACCACAATTTAAGAGAAAGTAGGAATCCTCACCACAAGTCAAAATAGAGACATTTGTCAAAATAATTTGATCACATTAGAGAGAAATCAAAAATTGTGAGCAGAAAGAGACAGAAATGTGCTGAATAAGTCACAGAAACCCATTTATTAATTCAGGTCTAGGATATAAATTGTATATATAACAAATGCATGGAAGCAGAGCGTTCTGGAGTGCTTGCAATGCTGGAACTTCCATCTTGTGCTTGCGCGGCCAGAGGTGGTGGCTTGCAGCCACATCTGTGCTGGTGATGCACTGAGCTCATCAGAACATTTCAGTGAATCATTTTTCCCACATTGAAATATTTCACTGCTTCTGAACAAACTTCCAATGGTTGGGTTTCTGATGTATGCAGGAGCCTTACTTATCACTCCCAGAGGCAGAAGGAGTGCTTAGCCGGCACTGCTAACTGGTTTCCTATCTGCAAATGGACTTTTGGACACCTCTTGTTTCAGAAATGTATTCAAAGGTTTTTTGCTTCCAGTACAGTGTGAGATGAAATAAAAGTCAGATCTCTAGAAGCCGTTGTGGAAAAGGGTTGTCTTTCTCTTCACGCTTTCAGAAACGCAAGAGTTACCCTGCAAAATGCTAAGAGCAGGATTTCTGCAAAGCTACTCTGATCCCACCTGAGTGCAGTGGACAAGACTCCAGTGTCTGAATTAATTTAAGATTTACACTCACAGAGCACAGAGCTACCACTGCTCTGTCTCGGGGGCGTTTTCATACATACGAGGCCACCACTGATGATAGGGTCAGATGCTTTGCTCTGCACAGATTGTGATCATCTTGTTACCATATCTGGCCACAGAACATCAACCTGGGTCGGAAAATTCCCCCACCAGCATCCCCAGGATGGCCACCACAGAGGTTTCTAGGCCACATCCTCAGGCATTACTGTGCACCCAGCATCAGGACTGTTAGCACCTAGCACATGCTAAAAGCATCTCAGGGTGCTCTAACCCAGGACAAAAACCCACCTGATTCCGGAAGTTGGGCGTAACAAGGAGTACATTTCGTGCAGGTACGTCCCCTCCTGGGTGTCTTCACCAGGTCCAGTGATCTAACCCTGGGAGGGTGAGGGGAGTCTGCAAATTGTAACTGCCCATATACCCATCGCAGAGCATTCCTCATATCCCTGATGCACTCATATGTGGGCCAACGCATCCGTGCTTGGGCCTGGGCACTAATGCCATGGCTGATGCACCCATGGGGTGGGTCCAGGCACCCCTTGTCTGGGCTGGGCTGGGCACTAACCCAGCTCACACACCCCAGGGCTGTCCAAATCCCCTGTGCCTGTGCTGATGTAGCCCTGCACTGGTAGATGCAAGTCATTCCTGGGCTGACGTGCCCATGCCATGGCTCACGCGCCCCTGTGAGGTCCAAAGTCCCTGTGCCTGGACCAGTGCACCCCCCACAGACCAATGCACCCACGCCTGGGCTGAAGCATCCGTACCTGGGCTTGATGCAGCCCAGCATGGGGGATTCAGTACTTAAAAGGGGCTTGTAAGAAAGATGAGGACAAACTTTTTAGCAGGGTCTGTTGCGACAGTACAAGGAATAATGGTTTTAAACTAAAAGAGGGCAGATTTAGACTAGATAGAAGGAAGAAATTTTTCACCATGAGAGTGGTGAAACACCGGCACAGGTTGCCCAAAGAAGTGGTAGATACCCCATCCCTGGAAACATTCCAGGTCAGGCTGGACGGGGCTCTGAGCAACCTGCTCTAGCTGAAGATGCCCCTGCTCATTGCAGGGATGACCTTTAACTGTCCCTTCCAACCCAAACTACTCTACGGTTCTATGATGCACCCACACCTGGGCGAAAGCACCAGGCTGAAGCACCAGTGCCTGGCCCAGAGCACCCAGCGCGGCCGAGGACCCCAGCGTGGCCGCAGACCCC